ACAGCAAAGCTGAAGTGTAAGCCTAATAAACCCTTTCCTCCGCAAGTTGCTTTTTGGCCATGATGTTTCGTTGCAGCAATAGACACCCTGACCAAGACACCCCCACAGCTCAGATTCTGAGCCCAAGCTCACAGGTTTAGTCTCACACATTTGGCTTAAACATCCCAAGCATGTTAGAAATGACAAAAATCCATGGCCATTTAACCAAATGATTCTACTTCTAAGACGTTATTGTAGAAAGAGAGCTGAGTGGGCACATGGCGGTCCATCACAGCCTTGTCTGTTATCATTGAGACTGGAAAAAGCCAGAAACAACAGCGGAATGCAGGGTGTGGGCTACGGTGCAGCCATGGAAATGACCAGAGAGCTTATGGCAATTGGCCTGGACATTCAGAAGATTGGGATTGAACCAAAAACTGAGAACGACGGCATGGCTAGCCTCGCCTCATTTGCACAAGTCTGTGTATGTGTCCTGGTATCTACAATGCCCTGTAGGAAACCCACCAGAGCTCAACATTCATTGTAGATGGATGTTTTTAATGAGCTACATACAGCACAGCACAGTCTGCAGAGAAGAGCTACCAGTCCCAGACAGAGCACCACAGCAAGAAACAAAAATGCTTTGCTTACATTATAACAAGAGTTTTCCTCTCATGGCACCAACAAGATGGCTTAGTGGGTAAAGGTGCTTACCCCAAAAACCTGTCGACACAAGTTCAAAACTCACACGGCGGCAGAAGAGAACTGACTCCCACAAGTTGTCCTCTGACCTCTGTACATACTCCACAGCACATGAGCACAGACAAATGTAATTTAAGAAAAAAGAGGACCTTTTCTCATTTACAACAGATCATAGCAAAATAATAGCTGTAAGCCACTGATTCTTAAATGTTATTCTTTAAGAAACAGAAAAGTGACTGTGTTTGATAATCCAAAGTGGAAAACAACCCTAGCATATCCCAGGAGATAAAGGAGAAGATGCACACACAACAGAATATTAGATAGCAATGGCAATAATCTAGATGTTACTACTGCAATGGCATATGGACTTCTCAACTGGGAGTCTCCCAAGGCATTCCTGGCAACGTCTGGAGATGTATTTGGTTGTCACGGCTGGGGATCCTGCTCCAGGCATTGAGTGAATAGAGGCTACAGATGTTGCAGGATGCCCTACAGTTTATCAACAGTGCCCACAAGTCCCCACATCCCTGCAGCATCTTGCTGAGTCAAGAGGCCGCAGCTGTTCCAGCAGAGAGGTCAGTTGCTGCTAAAAGATTAGGCAGCATCTGGATCCCATGCCTGAGTGTGCCATGAAGACAAAACTTCCAGCTCCATGGGGGCACTAGACTGGAGAACTGTCACATGACCAGCAAGCCTTTGGCATCTACTTCCCACACACTATCAATCCCAGCATCCTGGGAGCCTGGGTAGTTTGTACTACTTTGCATGGAGAAGGGCTCCCAGGACCCAGAAACTATAGCACTCCAAGAGAAAGCCTGGTTTCTGGCACACTTAGAGGGCATCATGGAATAAAACAGCCAGCCTTGGGGACAGAGCCAAGAAAGATGGTGCAATGACCTAAGACATAGCATAGTCTGGCCAACCCATAGATACATCAAGTCTGGGCAGGCCATCTGTCTGCAGAGGGGCAGCTCCAAGCACTGGCCTGACTCAGAACCTGCTTGGCTCATTTATCCTCTGCATCCTGAGCATCCAGGGTAGCAGAAAGGACCTAACCCATTCAGAGTGATACAGGTCCTAGAACTTTCATCAGGTTTGAGATGATACGGATTGGGGGCCCGTGCTGTACCCACTCCTCACCCCTAGAACTCACCAGGCACCTGTTCAGGAACCTCCAGGACAGGTCTGGTGGTATGCTATGATGGTTAGTTTTTTGGATTCTTTTGGGTTTGGAGGATGTTGTTGTTGTCAATTTGACACAACCAGAGTCACCTGGAAAGAGAGGTCCTCAACTAGGAAAATGCCTCCATCATATTGGCCTGTAGGCAAGTCTGTAGGACATTTTCTCAATTAATGGTTGATATGGGAGTTCCAAGGCACTGTGAGTGCTACCTCCCCTAGGCAGGGAGACAGAAGGAAGTTAACTGAGCCTGAGCCTGAGCAGCAAGCGAGGGAGCGGTGTCCCTGCACGGCCTCTGCTTCAGTCCCTGCCCCGGCTTCCCGTCACGATAAACAGGGCTCAGAACACATACACCAAATAAACCCTTTCCTCCACAATTTGCCTGTGGTCACGGTGTTCATCACAGCAACAGAAAGCAAACTTGGACCGGTGCCTACACCCTCAAGATGCTAGGGAACCCATACCAACCACACATAGTCCATGACAAGAAGAGAGGACCCCTCAACCTGGAACCCCAACCTTGGCCTCTATGTGCTCTGGGTTGTCGGAAGACAGCACTGTAACCTCTGCTCCACGCTTCATGGATACAGTTGGGGAGACAATGCTGAAGCCCCGCCCTCAAGTTCCCTCTGTTAATTCCCCTCAGCTCCGGAGAGGATGCCACAGGAATTAGTCCATGCAGCTGCAGCAGCAGCCCTCCTCAGCATCCTCAGGACAGCAGGAATCTTCAACAACAACAAAAGCAACAAAAACACACACACAAATAACTACACCCCCCCCCAAAAAACCCAACTCTTGAGGACACTCAGTTAGGACTGTCTTTAATTACTATTCTCTTCTGGTAGCATAAAAATTCCCCACCATCTCTCTTTAAGGCACAATCCCTCATTCAAACTCTTTGTTAAAAATAACTCCAGCAACCAGCCATTAAGCCAGGAATGTGCCTTAGCCTACCCTTCCCTTTTCCCCCCTCTGGTTTGCAAATTGGCACCTTCCCAGAATTTCACAAAAGACAAAAATGTAGAGTCTTCCACAAGACGGTCACCAACAGCACTGGGAGGGAGGGCGGGACCTGTAATCCCACTGCAATGGGAGGCTATGTCTCAGGCTGTCTGATTCCCCTGGCTGTGGCCTGCAAGTCTCCAGACTGGTGTGTGTGTGTGTGTGTGTGTGTGTGTGTGTGTGTGTGTGTGTGTGCGCGTGCGCGTGTGCGTGTGCGTGTGTTGGAGGATAACTTGCAGGAGTCAGCTCTGTCCTTCCACCATGTGAGTCCCAGGCATGAGATTCAGGTTGTCTGGTGGCAGGTGCCCCAGTCTGCGGAGCTGTCTCACTGACCTGACCCACCACTACCGTCTTACTTAGAGCCAGCACTTGAAACAGAAGCGCACATGTTCCGAGAACAGTCAACCTCACCCAGGTTGGTCTGCAGCTCTTCACCAGCTCCTTGGAAGCCTTGGTCGCCGCCCCCCGCCACCCATGAAGCCATCATCTCCTTTCCAACAGCACCAGTTGCACGTGCACGGAGGCAGGCGTCCCGCCCTCCTGCCACCGTGCCCTGAGCATCCCAGTGATTGGGACAGCAGCCTGCACCCACACTGCGGCCGGCTCTGCTGGGCAGGCTGCACACTCGGGTGGTGAACTCCAGTTTTCACTGCTGCAGTGCCCTCATGAGATTAGTGGGATAATAAGCCTTCAGGACTCTCTGTTAAGTCTGTCCTTGACCGCTCATAAACTCGCATCTTCAGAAGCGACTCACATACACAAACACACAACCCCACATGAGATGGAGTGGAATGGGGGGGCTGCAGTCGGTCACTGTCACCCCATCAGGGTGATGATCTAAGAGCCTTCTTACTTCCTCCCTACCCCCCTCCCCCACTCCCTCCCTCTACCTTCCTTCCATGGCATGGTTGGGGGGGGGCACCAGAAAGAGAAAGCAAGATGGAGGGGGTCTGTTAGCAGAGAGGACTCTCTTTGCAGACACATACAAACTTTCCAGAGCACCAGGAACACCTGCTGCTGTGCTATACATGGCAAAACCAAAATTCTCAGAGGAGCCTGTTGAATGCCGGGAGCCCTATAAGCCAGGGTAGAGGGTGGGGCCGAGCAGCACCATGCAGCTGACAAAGCTGGGGTTTCTGGGACTAGCCTGGAGACACCTCCAACACAAACAAGAGGGAGAAGAAAGAGCAGGAGCGTCTCCCTTCGCAAGGGAAAGAGGAAAGGACACAGGGATGGAAATAAACTCATGTTTTACATTTTAGATCTCTTAGCTCCAGCCAGCCTGAGTGCATGCGGGCCCACAGGCATGCATTTATCAGGTGCACACAAACAGGTGTGCTCCCCTGGGCATATGGATAGCATAAGCCCTGGTTCTCAGCTGGCTTGCCTGCCCTCTGCCCTCGGTGGCTTTTGTCCCACCCTCCTGCCTCCAGAGAGCATCCCTAACTGTGTTTTCCAACGTGCCTCCACCTGGCCTCATGACGTCACCAAGGCCTCGGGGACCCCCTACTGTGTGCTCAGCACCACTCTCAAGACACTAGGTGCCAGCTGCAAGCCTTTGAGAGATGCGCAGGAAGACGATGCCTGTTGATGCGCGCACGCATCCACGTAGGCACCGTAGGAACAACAGCTCGTCAGCTCCCATCTCTGCCATTCTCGCCTGCAGGCGGAGCCATGTGAAGAAGAGAGAACCTCAGCGCGGATGAATGCATCAGGACGAACAGCTCATCCCTCCAAACCCAAAGCACAGAGCTGTCTCTCTCAAGCTCTGAAGCAGCACACGACGGAGCTCAGCTCTGCGTCTTGCAAACACTGCCGAGCCTGCTGAGTGACACTGGGACAGCTGTCCCTCTACTCCAAGCAAAAGACCGCCACAAGCCAGAGGCATATACCCATAGGGGCTGCACTTGCCTTGGAGAGCCATGGAAGGTCCCAGAGGCCTCTTCATTCAGTGCCAGCCCACGTGTCATTGGCAAGGCTCAGCCATGTGGTTCAGGAACAAAATTGCAAGGAGACGGACTCTGGGACGCAAAGGAGCGCTCCTTACCCAGCACCAGGGCCATGAAAGGCTCTCCACTAAATGCCACAGGCAGCGAACCATATCCAGGGCCAGCCAAGGGGAACGCCTGCCACTCACCAGTTTGTGCCTGAGATGGACGGTGATCAGAGGAGAGCCCGATAGGTTCTGGGACAGAGTGGGCGGTGGGGACACCTCCAGGGAGATCAGGTGGCTGGCGACAGACAGCAGGCAGTCTCTGCAGTTCACAGCCTCAGGAATCCTTGGAAATGAGTGGGGACAGGTTACAAACAGGAGTAGGGGGATGGTGTGCAGCCAGGCTGTGACCTTGAAGCCTGAAGAATTCGGAGACCAGTATTTGATCCTGCAGCTGGAAGTGACTTTGGCTGCTAAACATCTCAATTCGGTACCTCAGGCCCTACCCTCTTGGAAGTATGACAACATGACCGGGAGGTGAACGGGGACAGTACCTCAAAATACAGCAGGGAATTCAGAAGAACGAGCCGTTGACCCCAGGCTCGGAATCCCAGCACGGTTGCCTGCCTGACCCCAGGCGCTCACTCGCCCCCGTCTGAACCCAGCTTTGGATTACACAAACACATGGCCAGTACTTATGTGGTGGAGTCTGCTGTTTCTCTGCCTCCTGTCCACTCCTTTCCTCATGAAGGCACCTCAGTTTCCCCAGTTCTCCACTCAGCCACACACTCAGAGCTGAGTCCATGGCTAAGCAGCAAACCCTGCCATCTACAGCTGTGCAGGACAGCACAGCGCATTGCTCAACCACGTGACAGCTGGAGGAGAAGGAGATCACACCCAGGAACCTTCCAGGAGAGAGAGTCTCTTCTCTCTGCTGGATGTCAGTTCTGAAGGAAGGGCCTCCCTGGCTTAACACTGTAAGGGGGATGTCTGACAGAGAAGAGAGCCCACCCTGGGAAGGGCCTAGTGATGGGATCTGGTGGCAACGCCTGGACAGCTGAACCACGCCACCCCTGAAGCCAGATGGCTTTCACCTTACATTATTCAACAAGTCTCCATTTGCTTAAAACCATTCAGGCTAGGTTTCCGCGCCTCACTCCAGTCTAGCAACCGCCTGTCTTCTCCTAACCCTGTCTTGGAGTTCTTCGGTTGAGATGCTATCCATGGCCAAGGTCAGGGACAGTGCAGTGAGACACCTGGTGTGCAGAAGTTTGACTTGGGGTCTGATGAGCCTGGCATGTGAATTTACTTATGTGCCTGAGCTTCCTGCTCCCCTCATAGCAACTATGGAGGGAGGAATGGAGAGAGAGAGAGAAATAGAGAGACGGAGGGAAGAAATCTTCCCAAGGGAGGCAATCATAAAGGCGGGTCTGCTGCCTTCCCATTCTGTAGATGTGGAAACTCAGGGTGGGAGAGCTTCATTCACAGATCCCAGACCACTGTCAAAACAGGGGGTGTTGAAGTCTCTAGCCTGTGCCTCTGAACATAGCTGGCCAGCCTACCCCAGAGCCTGCTGGATCCCAATGAAGGAATTCTTGAGTCTTTTCCAAAGGGCTAGCAGCCCAACCTGGCTTGAACAACAAGGCAGAAGGTGCTGGTCTCGAGCGGTTTCTAACAAAAGGCCATGCATGTGTGTGGCAGCCTAGGGTGTCGTCTCGGCTGGCCACCCAAGAAACAAGACCATGCACATGCCTCCCACACGCCACTGTACAACACTCACTTTGTGCTGGCTGGGGGGATGCTGTTCAGGTAGTAGTGCATGGAGTGGTAGAGGAGGCCGACAATCGTGGTCCAGGCTGAGGACAAAGCAGAGGTCAGACACCCATCAACACCCCAGTTACAAGCGAGAAGAGCGGGGAGCCACACACACAGGGCCGCTGAAGTCAGGAACTCAGGGACTTGGGATGGGGGTGGGGAGGAAGAGCCCCAGGACAATGAAATTTGCAGCAGCGTAGAAGCTTTGGCTAGTCCTGTGCTCAGCTGGGACAATGACCTCCCGCCCTGTCCCCTATGCCCACTCCAGACACAGGTGCTGAGGCCTGCCCGAGACACCATAGAGCCTCAGAGCCAGGGGGCTCTTCAGTGTGTCTCCGTCAGTCTACAGGAGGAGTGTGCTAGTACTCGGATGCAGGTCTGCAGACTAGAAGACACCCGGATGGCTGCGATGGGTCCCTGGGCCCCTTATTACAGTGAGAACCCCATACTCGGCTCCTTTTTCACTCCGGGAGTGTGAGATCACTCAGCCGTCATTGGCCGATTCTCTGAGCTCTCCCTGCTGTCAGCTCGGGACTCACTACACACCAGGCACAGTGATTTATACACACTTTGCCTTGTAAGGTCTGAAACAATATCATGAAACGGGTATTTTTATTGTCCTGGCACAGAAACTTGCCCAAGGCCACACAGCCAGCAGTAGCTAAGCTGGGATTCTAACCACAGAATCTGGGTTGGTTGACAGAAGTGTTGAGAACATGGCCTCTGGCCATTCTGGAAACCTGGGCTATGTCTAATATGTCCTGCATGGAATCTGAGAGGATAAGACCCTACTCAAGGATGCTAGGTGGTGCCTCTCTCCCGAGAATAGTATACAACGAACATTTGCCAGAAGATGGATATCATGGGCACCTCTCCTCCACACCAAGAGATGGATCCTTGCTAGGGGAGGGGCTGTGTGGCAGGGCCGGGCCTCTGTCTGGGCCCTCTAGGGTGGGAGCCACAGCAACCTTTAACTGTGAGTGAACACGAGAAGAACGGATGCCATCCAGATATGGCCAGTCACCTGGACCATATCCATCAGGTGCCCTTGGCTATTCGGTCATAATGAGACTTGACTTGGGCCTGTCCTGGGATAGTCTCTGGCTCTTCTATACAGACACACCCGATCCCTGGCTACCTTGAACATATACTCACATTCAACTAACCAGGAGCTGAGCAGACTGAGGGACACACAGTATCCTGTGTGGTGGGTCAGACTCATGGGAACACAGATTTGCAGAGCCCCACTCCAAGTCCCAGCTCAGTCTACAGAGAGTGTGTAGAGGAATGATGTGGGAAGGCCTGCTTTGGATCAGAGGCTCCTCTGGGAGCACCCAACCCCACCCTCCTGTGGGGCAGCTCCATCAGGAAGGACAGCCACCCAGTCTGTACCACCTGAGAGCCTGAGCAACCATATCTACTCACCGTTGCTGTGAAGGGCCTCTCTTGGGATCTCAATGTAGCTGTGCCCGTGGGCTGGGAATCTATAGTGGGGGGCACTCAGTGCTGGGGGAAGAATCTTGGCCACGGAGAAATCTGAAGGAGAGGAGGACACAGTGAAATGGGGTTAGCGGGCTCACTGGCTGCAGGACACCGGCTGAGGACCCTGCGTGTCACTGTTCTTCATTTCTTAAACCAAGCCAACTCCTAAGGGAGAGAAATCACCTCTAGAAAGGGTGACCAAGAACATGCATGTGCGAGCAAGTGCAAACGTGTGTGTGTGTGTGTGTGTGTGTGTGTGTGTGTGTGTGCTCGTTCACAGGCATATGAGTTAGGGAGGGGATTTCCACAGAGGCTAAGTCCTCCAGCCATACCCTAAGGGAACTCCTACCTGGAGGGACCCTGACCCTCTGTAGCCCTCTAGAGCTAAGCACTCAGCCTCATGGTAGTGATGCTGCTACAGCTCATGGAGTGAGGGAAGCTGTGGCTATCTAAGCTCTGGGGGACCCAGTCAGAAAAGGGAAAATTAAAACGCACGCGTGTCGAGGGAGTGCCTCGGCAGACAGGCGGCTCCGTAATCTGCCTCTGCGGGCAGATGAGCTCCTGGGCCATGGTGGGGTGCTGTGTGATGCCCCTGCATTGAAGTGTCCTCAGACAGAGACTCAAAGCAAAGAATCCATGCCTGTCTGTGGGGACCTGACACATCCTGGGAAAGCCAGGCTGCTTCCTCTGAGATGTCCCATTCTGGCATTCACCCGAACTCACATTCTGATCTCCTCCTCCTCCTCCCCCTCCTCTTCCTCCTCCTCCTCCTCCTAGTTCTCCTCCTCCCCCTCCCCCTCCTCCTTCTCCCCCCTCCTCCCCCCCTTTCTCCTCGTCCGATGGTCTACTTCACCTATTCCACATCTCCAGAGCAGAGAGCATCCCACTGGATGTTTAAGGACCCAAAGGCTCAAGGGTGTTGGAGTCCCTACTCTGTTTGAGCCCAGACAGCTGTCACGGGACGCCTGTAGCTCCACATTGCCATGGCTAATTACACAGTCCCGTGTGCCTACCATGATCCGGCACTTCTAGCCTAATTCTAACACGTTTTTCTTCAAAAACAGGATTTTGCACAAGACACTGGACCTTAGAGAAATGGTGGTTTATCTCAGCGGCTGTGTGAGCCTCAGACAGTGTGGAGGCCAGTGACCCTCACACCTGGCACCCTTCTTCCCACAGCCTCCCCCCACTGCCCCCCAATCTGATAATGGCTACCTGCCATGGAGGAAGAGCCTGCGAGGGTGACATGGGTTTCTCTGGGCTGCAGGTTGGATGATATGTGACCCATGACGGTATCGATGGTGTCGACCAAGCCCAGCGTCATGGTGTTGTCCTGCAAGCAACACAGACATGAAACTCTGACGACCACCACACTCAGCATCATGGGGGTTTGGCACATCACAAACTCAGAGCTTCGCTTCCCTGTGATGGCCATAAGAGACCGGAAACCACCCAACTGCCACACTTCGAAGCCTGGTAAGTGACCATGTACCCGATGAGTTCATGGAGCATGGACACAAGTCAAAGCTGACCCAGTGTCACAGCATTAATTCCTGAGTGACCAGATGGCTCAGACAACTGTTTGTAGCTATGCTATGAATCCTCCAAGAACCTGGGCAAGCCTCGGGTGTGCCCATGCCTGTCTTACAGCTAATGGCCCTGAGTCCCCTGAGGCATGAGGACATCAGCAATTCTTTTCCACTCTCAATGAAGCAGCAGCCTCTTTGGAGGTACTAGCCTGCAAATCCCCTCTGGCCTCCTTGACTCCCCATCCAATGGCCTTCTTCACCCACTCTGCATCTTTAAGGCAGAAAGAACATCACGTGGAGTCTACCCACAGGAAGGCGGGTCCCTTCTAGTTGCACAGACCTCTGCTGCCAACGGGGGACCAGTGTCCATGTCAGGGTTCATGTCCTCATTAGCCTGACTGTCTTGAACCTCAGACACCATGGCAAAGAAGAGTTGTCTCCCCCATCCCCTGGCCCGTTCTGCCTGGCTCTGCTCTGCCTACCTTGCCCATCCCCTTCCGTCCTTTCGTACATTGCATCTGTCACTGTTGAGCTCTCAACATCCTCTCACAAACACTCCAGGAAGACTTACTGGGGCGGAACCAGAAACACAGGCCAATTTTAGACACTGTCTCTTAGGCCCATGATCTGATTCCAATCGGAACGTCTGTGTCTTTGGCACACAGTTCTAGGGGGAGCAGCGATTCATGCGTGCCTTCTCGTCAATGCTCATAAGCTTACCTAAGCCTGGATTGTTTCATAATTATTCATATTTCGCAGCAGATTTGCATATTTTACATTCAAAGAAAGTTCATTTAAATCAATGAAGAAAAATCTGTCGATCTGAGGCCTCCACTGGCTGCCGTCCCTCCTCTGGCTATTCTCCCACGTTTCAGACTGTAACTTGTACACAAAGTCCCTTAGAAACCTGTCCCTGGAGGCCTACACTTCTTGAAGAAGAATGTGTTTCTATGGAAGACCGTGTCATGCTTACATTCTTAACTCCCTTCCCTTCCCATCTGCCAATGTTATGCAATCTCATTTCACGTGAAGCACTTTGATAAAGGGCTCATGGAATGCAGACGTCATGCCTTCTTATTAATAAGGTGAGAATTGGCTGTGGCTTCTGCCTCTCAACCTTGCGAAACCTGTAAACCTGAGTCTCCCTCATTTCAAATGTGGCATGTTGCTATGATCGGAGCCTTCTAGGCACCTGGGAGCCTTCATCCTCCCTCTCATTGACCTCCTGGGAGCCATGTGTGGCACAGAAACTGGCCAGAGCTGAGCTCTTGAGTCGTTACATGGACTCTGAATATTTGAGAGGTGAATGCCCACTATGACAAGCCACTGCGAGGTGGCTCTGTTGTTACTGCAGCAGGGCCTACACTGACCTGACTAACACGATGCCCAGAGCTCCTTGGCAAATGTTCTTTCTCCCCCTTCTCCCCATTTTGTGTGTGTGTCTGGTAGGCATGTGTGTGCACCTTCTCACATGTCTGGGCATATGTATGTGCACGTGTGCATGTGTCCGTGTGGGGCCTGAGGCTCACGTGGAGACTCAGTCTAAATCCCCATTCCACCTCACTCATTGCGGCAGGGTCTCTCAGTCAAACCCAGATCTCACCTACATGGCTAGCCACCTTACTCTGGGGATCCCCTGTCGCTGTCTTCCCAGGTTGGAATTAAAGGGGGTCTGTCATACCCACCCGGAATTTATGTAGATGCTTGGGACCTGAACTCCAGTCTGCATGCTGGGAAGCCATCCCCCCAACCCCACCTTAGCAAGCGTTCTTAGTAGAAGAAAACTCAGGCTCTACCAGATGTCTGTAGAATGAGTGTGTGTGAGTGGGCTCCGGACCAGACTGTGGGGTCACATGAGGCTGCTCACCGTCACGCTCTGCCTGAAGGCGCTGGGTGATTCTTATCTCAGATATTTTTATCATCTGCCATCGCCACAACTATTCATCGGCTGTCCTCATGTTTTAAAGAAGTAATATCAATAAGGTGGCTGGAAATCAAAGAAAAGCACTCCGCTCCGCTTCCTGAATCTTGAGTGCAGAGGGACAAAAGCCTTTCATTTTCTCACTTTAATCATGAAGCGCACTGTTCGCGCTCGGCCGTCTCACTCAATCCGCCGATCTTAAAATGCCAAATACGGCCCTTATGACTATTCAAGAATGCAGAATAAAAAAAGTGCATTGTGTGAAATGACAAACAAAGGTCAGCCTTCCTGAGAGAGATGCTCCCTTTCCCAGAGCCAGAGAAGGTGGCACAGGGCTGAGGGTCCCAGGGACACAGTACCCCGGGTGCCTTTCATGCCCCAGGGAAATGAACTTCAGTGTCTCAGACATCAGAACCGGGAAAGGCTTCATTCTTCTTAGAGACGGCGAGGGCCCTGGGATGCCACTGCAAAAAGACGGTCATAATGAAGTGCACACGTGCTAAAGGTCAAAGCATCCTTCTTACCTCTGATACATGGGTCCAGCTGGGCAGTAGAAGCACCTCGCCCACGGTTCTTAAGAAGGTCTGAAGATAAACAGAACAACACTGTTTAGCATAGATCCTCAAACCTCACATCTGGGTCCACCAGTCTCCTCCAAGTTTTCCCATGTCTCCTCGACCGGGAATTGGTTTAATGCACAGTGGCAGGCAATAATAGCTTGTATTTGTGGTGTGTGGACATCTGCGTGTGCATGTTTACATGTGTATGGGCACACTTTCATGTTGGTACACCTGGGAGTCCCTGTGTGTGCTTGCGAAGCCCAAGGCTGGTGTCAGGAACTGTCCTCTATGGCTCCTCAACCTTATTCATTGAGGCAGACTCTTAACCAATCCCAGAGCTGACCAGAACAGCTACACCTCACCAGTCAGCTTGCTGTGGGGAGCTCCTGTCTCTGCCTTCTGGGGCTGGATTTATAGGCAGGTTGCCATGTCCACTCAGCATTTTATGGATTCTGGGGATCTGAACTCAGGTCTTCAGGCTTGTGGGTCAAGTGCTTTAATCACTCAGCCTCAGGCTATATCTTACAGGTGCTATCTCATTTGTTTTTTTGTGACAACCTTGTAAAGTCAGTGATCAGAAGGTGGATATCACAAGGGCCCAGGTCATGTGACAGGCCCTAGCATGCCCCATCAATGAATGGATGAGTGGGTGGGTGGATGGACGGACGGACGGACGGACGGACAGATGAATGAGTGAATGATCACAGCTCATGAAACCTACTTTGCTCAGGACAGCCTGACATTAAGCCACTTATGCCAGCTGGAAATCACCTCTCCAAAGCAAAAGCTACCTACACCCTCCAGTCAGTCACCTTAAAACCACATTTGCTTAGGTTCATTCTTGTTCCAAAACAATGAAATTACATTTTAGCATTTTCAAGTAGGGAGATTTAAGTGAAAACTGATCTTCCTGCTTCCTTTGAAAAAAAGCGTTAGCTTGCCAGCATCCCACGTAACCACGGAGCCAAGCTGAGCAGGGTAGCTGTTTCAGTGATGCTTGTCCCAGGCCCCGCCCCTCCCTACTCATCTGTCTCCGTCTTTCCATCACATCTCCTGCTACAGACACCAGACTCAAGCCTGGAGGCCAACTCACTTCCACTGCCTCTACCCAGTGGTTCTCAACCTCCCTAGTGCTGCAACCCTTTGACACAGTTCCTCATGTTGTGGTGACCCCCAACCATAACATTATTTTCGTGGCTACTTCATAGATGTAATTTTGCTAACATTATGAACCATAATGTAAATAGTTTTGGAGATAGAGGGGTCTCGACCCATAGGTTGAGAACCATGTAGAGTCTTCCCAGTCAACAAAATCCTGTCACTGCTCACCAAATACACTAAGTATGTGCAGAATGTATCATCAAGCCTTCCTCTCCCATTCATCTTCATTCCACAGCTGTTTATTTATACTCTAAAGTCCAGGGGCTTAACTAATGACCGAAAAAAAAATGCTCCTGCTTTCTCTCCTTGATCGAAGGAATGGCAAGCATTTTTAAAAATTCTTTATTCCTTTTCACCTTCCCCCCTCCTCTCTCCTCTTTCTCCCTCTTTCCTACTTTCCCTCCTCCTCCTTCTCTCCCTTCTTCTCCTCCCCTTGGTCCTCCCCACCTTTTCCTCCTCTTCCTCTTCTTCCTCTTCTATAAGGTCTCATATAGCCCAGGCTCGCCTCAAACTCACTATTCATAGAACAACCCAGGCCAAAGATGACCTTGAACTTCTGATCCTTGTCCCTCCACCTCCCAGATGCTGGGGTTGCAGGTGTGCACCACCAGACTTGGTTTGTGGGGTGCTGGGGATCAAATTCAGGGCTTCACACATGCTGGGTCAGCACCCTTCCAACTGAGCCATGTTCAAAGCCACTCCCCCCATGATTTGTCTAAAAAGCCACAAAATAAGGACTTCAGGGGGCCAGGCTATATCCTCAGCTCTGCCACAGAGTGCAGAAGCAAGCTAGACTGTGCTCAAGTGAGTGGCCATATGTTCCTAAAATGTTACTACAGAAGTAGGCCATGCATGGATTACATTTGGCCTGAGGGATAGACAACAGTTCTGAGAAAAGAAACAAGTGAACCACATCAGTCAACTTGAGTTTGTTTTTTCTTTCTTTCTTTTCTTCTCTTGGGGGCAGGGGATGGGTGGGGTGATTAGGAGCTCATGATGTAGACTCAAGATCCTCCTGCCTCAGTTTCCCAGGGACTGGGATTACAGGTGTGTGCTACCACACACAGCTTTCTATTTCCAATCAGCTGCTTCTATGGGGTGGGGGACTTAAATCAATTAAATAGTATATTTTATTTACTTAATTCAACCCACAAAATATTATTTCAACATGCATGTCATATTTCTGTTAACTGTCAGACATTTTACAGTTCTTTCATTCAGGCTGATGACTCCAGTGGCATTTTGTACCTGGGTCATTAGTCAACGGCACATGACCCACAGACCTCACACTCGAGAGCACACATGACTGAGAGCACAGCTTGGGAAGTGGCCTCGGGTCACTATACTGGGTCATCACAAATAGTTAAGAGCCAGGACAATATGGAAAGCTGCACAATGACTTCCTAGAAACTTTGTTTCCTGATGAATCGGAGTTGAGAAGTGCTGGACATCATCATGCTGTATGGTTTGTCCCCAGGGTACCAGGGTCAGCACAAGCCATAGAAGAATTGATGATCGCTGGGCTCGGTCAGTCTTGAGATGGCTTTCATTTGATCCGTACACATTCCCTTTCAAAATTCCTTTCAAAGCTTAGGGCTTCCCTTGCCGGATCAGAAGAGATGGGGGCGGAAGAATGAAGTCAATCTGTGGCTTGCTGGCTGCTGCTCTCCGAGGGTCAGCTGTCTGGCCGGTGGTCCTGCCCATTGCATCCATGACTTTGATTGTTGACCCCCAAAGGCATCATCAGAGAGGGAAAGCAGAAGCAACAGGCAAAGAGCAAAGCCACCGAGCTCAGGAAATGCCTCCCATGTGGCCTGCACTGAAGTCTGTGTTCCAATACACCATCTTATGAAGAACAAGGAAGCCCTTTGGCCGTATGTCCCTGCCGCACCCCACCAGCTGTCATATAGGGCCACACTGGGTTTAGTGGAACAGTCTGTCTCCCCTGACACAAGTCCCTCCGCTCTCAGCTCTATGTCCTTTCCTGAAAGGTAGATGGTAGCTCTTTCTGCGGCTAACGGCCATAGTGCCTCTTAGCATGCACAGCTCAAGGAAGCAATGGTTCGTGCCTACCACAGCCCCTCATTTCCTAGCACATTCCAATGGGTGATAAAGATCACTGGGCTGGAGTGTTCTGAGAGCCGAGGAAGGACATGGACATAGACTTTTGAAAGAGTCCCACACTCCACAGACAGCCTCTCACACCAGCTGTATCACATACCATCCCCCATTGGTGACCTACAAGATTGCCCAAGTTTAGGGATTTTCCACCCAATACATCCCCTCTTCCTGTGGAAATGGGAGGCAATTCAGCCCCACCAAGATCTCTTCCATGATTGACTGGCCTGCCATGCCAATTGTGCTCCCCTGGGCGGGTGATTGGTCTAGGTGAGGTCAACGGGCCCAGTGATGATCAAGAGGTTGGGTGGCTACTTCCAGGGCCTCATAGGAAGGCTTCTGCCCTATAAAGATAAGTCACCCACCCTCCCCATACCCAGAACATTCAGACACAAAGGCAAAGGACTGGGTGTAGTTGTATGGACGTAGGAACAGGGTCCACTGGACAAGATGGTCCCAGAACACAGAGACTTCAGCACTAGATCAACGGTCAGCATGCATAAAGAAGGGTCACATAGCAAATCCATGCAGCCACCATCAATGCCAAGGACTCAGACACCATGTTCCACACCTGCTCTAGGCTGAAGCCTTATTACCGCCACGCAGGTACCATCCGGACTCCACACTCCCTGCTCATAGCTTTGGGGTGTATTATCAAGAATGGCCCACCTCAAACACCCCTTCTCTCTCCACACCAGACAAGAACCCTGGCTCAAGAAGACCATACAGCCATGAGATACCTCAAGCTCCTTGCTCTTCCTGGGAACTATTAGGAGGAATGAAGAAAGGGAGCATCTTGACTTTAATGTCCTAAGTACCGCACTCACAGTGTGCTCCAGGTAGCTTTAGAAAGTCACAAGGTTCACAATGATCTGTGGCCTCTAACTACATCTGCTAACACCCCCCACATCTTCCTTATTGCCAAAGAAGACATCAGACTTGAGACCATGAGTTGCAAGCCCAATTGACTCCGGAGGTTGGGTAAGGGTGTGGATGGACCAGGGAGGTTAGACTCCGGGGAAGTGAAATGAAGATCCAATTCCCAGCTCAAGGAGGCTTCACTGAGTAGCACAGAGCTGGCCAGAACAACCTACCTGTCTACAAACAAGAAGTCTAAACTCTGCCAGGCAAAGGCTCTTGATTCTGCTGTGTGTGGGGTGTGGGTGTCTGTGGAAGCCAGAAAAGGGTGTTGCATCCCCTGGATCTAGAATTATGGATGGCTGTAAGCCACAACACATGGGTGCTAATAACTGAATTGCAGTCCTCCGTAAGAGCAGCAAGTGTTCTTAACTGATGAGTCATTTAAACAGCCATTGCCCTAGATCTTTCTAACTCTCTAATCCATGGTCCAGCCATACATCATCCCCAAGCCACCAGCCAAAGGCACCAGGAGCATACCTGTGTGAGGTTCAGTGCTGTTTCCTCTGAGAGGGATTTATTGGGCAAGCTGAGGGACACGTTTTGAAGGTATCGCAGCACGGTTTCAGGTCTCTGGAAGCATTTCCTCTCCTCTGTCAGGTTGGTGATGATTGGGTGGTAGGCATCCGTGGGCATCTGAAAAACAGTGGCCATATGACTTCTTGTGGCCAGGAAATGAAACCAGGGCATTCTGTAGATGCTCAAGGTGACCTCTGGCTCTGGCCCCATCAGGACAGTACCAAGAATGGTCTCACACACACACACACACACACACACACACACACACACAGGATGCTTCTATGAAGAGTGCATAGCAACAGCATCCCATCCTCACAATGACCTCATGAAATGAGAACCATCTGAAAGATGAAAAGAGTCACAGAGAGGCAATCAGAGTCAATGAGTGGTAAACAAGGGTCTGAACCCAAGTGGACTAGAATCCAGGCATTTGCTGTCAAAGTCGCTGAGCAAGGGACATTCTTTAGACACAAAACCTAATTTGAAGCAGCCACATTCTATATAAATTGATCCATTCCTCTGATATCAGAAAAAAGTCACCAAAGGAAGAGATGGGTCTCAACAGTCCAGGAAATCATTTCAGGGGTCACTGTCTTCCCAGAATTCCCTTTCTTCCTAGTGTTCCAAGGAACAGGAACCAAGGGAATCATTTTTCCAATCACTCTGGGCACCAGGCATTACCCCAGAACTTGCTTACTTCCCTTTATTATTTCATTCTGAACTTGACTCTGACCTTGCTGTCACACAGCACGAGCCAACACAATCAACAAGAGGGTGGGGCGGGCTATGGTCTGAACATGAAGTACCATTCAAAGAGCCTTCTGTGTTAAAACTTTGGTCTCTAGTTGGTGACACTATTAAGAGGTGACTGGGTCATGGTAGGGCGCTAACCTCATCAATGGATTAAACCCATGGGAGAGTCTGTATGTTGTAGAATGGGCTATAGAGGTGGAGCCTAGGAGAAGAAGGGAGAATATACCATTGAGGGACATAGTATCCTCAGACTCTCATTCTCTTTCCACCCCCACCCCTGCTTCCTGGCTGCCATAGAGCATGGAGGGCTTTCTACCATGTTTCTGCTCGTTTCCAGCCCTCAGCAATGCACCTAGCCATGGACTGAAAACCCTTCTCCCTTGGCTAGGCTTCTCAGACATTTTGCCCCAGCTACAAAGTGGGCCAAAGGGAAAAGGCCCCTGCTCACCACTGAGTGTGCTGTAGGCATCGCTGGTGGTGTTGAAGACAACAGAGAGTGTTTACCTGAAAGAAAAACAATGCCTCGGTGAGGGCTAGATCATCCTTTATCATCCCCGGGGAGGCCTGTCCTTATTCGGAATTTACCAGCTTGAGGTGTCCTACTGAGGCACGGGATGTTTTGAGTATGGATGGTACTGGGAAGATAAAGGGCTCATAAATCAGCCTAAAAGGTAGATTATATGGATTTTCCCAGCAGAAATTATTTTTCCATTTATATTGTAAATTGCTTCTGAACACCGTTCATGCAGGCCATCACATAAAAGGATGATTTTATGCAAGGTCTCACAAATTTCAAACAAAGAAAGAATGAGAAATAGGCTTCAGTGGTACTCAGACTCATTATAGATAAACACGGGATTCTTAATCACTGGCTGCTATGGTTTAAATCAGAAGCTTTTCCTACACTCGAACAGTTGGTACCCAGCTGGTGGCACTATTTTTGGAAGGCTCTGGACACTCTGGGAGGCAGAGCCTAGCTAGAGAAGCTAGGGCCACTAGAGACAGGTCCTTGAGGACCCTGCTCACTTCCTGTTGTTTTCTCTCTGCTTCCTGTCCCATTGTGAGTAGATGTCTTCTTCTGCTACGATGTTCCACTCAAAGGTATGGAACCCAGTGGCCATCAACTGAACCCTCCGAAACCGTGAGCCAGTATAAATCAATGCCACTTAAGTGAGCTTGTCAGGTGTTTTGTTACAACATAAAAGACACTGATACACTCGGCTAAGATGTCACCCTAACAGTGGTGGAGGAGTCAGAACTTCTGCTGTGAGGAGCCTGGTTATTCTCTCTCTACTGATGATCATGGTTAATTATGAGCCATTCCCCCACAATGAGACGGCCAAGTTAAAAGATGAAGCCCCTAGTTGCCGTTTTCTGCCTACGCTTCACCAACTATTTCTGACTGTATTGTTTCCTGATGAGAACACAGACTTGACTTTATACTTGACCTCATTTTCGGGAAATGTCTCGAGGTTGCTTTGGGTGACCTGAGGAAATGACATCATCACCCTGGCTGGCTTGAGAATGATGAGCCCCTTGGGACTGGGTGGGGCGAGGTGGCTGGTGATGTAGAGCTGGACCCCAAAAGCACTTTGTTCTCCAAGATCGAGTGACATTTGTCGCTCGGGTGCCAAGAAGTTACAAGGCAGCCATGCCATGTGGTTCACGTCACACCGCAGTCAACTCTTGTTGACTCCTGTGCAGCTAAGAGATCAAAGCGATGGAAATGGAGGTTTCCCTGCGCACCACGGGAGCGGTCATGTGAGACAGATGAGAAGTGATTGCCCTGGGTCGGGCTCAGTCCCCGTGTGACTCTTGCTATGGTGGGGTTCATCTGGCAGATGGTACGTATGCCAATATTTCAAAGATGCACACACTGAGATCTCCCAGTCTGGACTTGACCCTCTCTGCCTCTGCGTGGGAGCTGCTCCCCACTTGAGTAGGAGGGTCTGGGAACCTTGCTGGGAGAACAGATGCCAACACTCCATCTTCCTATAAGTTACGGAGTTTGTGTGGAATATCTAGAACAGGTGAACCTCAGAAAGATGAAATAGATTAGCGGCTGTGGAAGGCAGCGATGGCTTAACGGACAGGGACGTCCCTTAAGAATGGTGAAATATCTGAAGATGATATGGAGATTGTGCTTGCACCCTGTGAACTTGCTGACTACCACCAAACTGTTTGTCTTATTACCATTACTTTTTCATTTTTGTGTGGGCATGTAAAAGCAGAGGTCAACCTCAGTGTCATTCCCAAGGTTCTGTCTGTCTACCTTTTTTTTTAACTAGGGCCTGGAGCTCACTGGTGATGCTAGACAGGCTGAGAGTGAGTCCTAGAGATCCCCCTACCTCTGCCTCCCCTGTGCTGGGATTCTAAGCACACACCACCACAGCCTGCTTTCTGAGTGTGGGTTCTGAGATTTTAACTCAGGTCCTCACGCTTGAGAGGCCGGCACTTTACTTGCTGAGCTATCATTCTAACCCTATTTAGTTTTTTTTTAATTGCTCACTTTAAATGGTTACACAGATGTCACATGAAATTTATCAAAACTTTTTAAAAGTCCCATGGCAAAGTGAAGACTTGAACCGTGTCCACCTGCCTACGGGCCCCCTGCTTGGAGCAATCACCTGTAATGAAGCACGGAGAAGGTACCCTGGGGCCTGAGGGCCCCTCGGAGGATGTGCACATGGGGGGCATTTGCTAAGGGCATGAATATTTGCCACCAAAACCTCTGTAATCAGCATTTGTATACCCCATGGAGCCTGCATGGATCAGAGAATATTAATCTCAGTGTGTCTCCTGTGAACTGTTAGCTCATTTATCTTGGGGAACAGGTGTTCAGAAGCATGCCTATACTTATAAGGCTCATTAAGACACATCTCACATCTGCCATGACAACAGCTTGAGAGCTGAAGGGTGGCGAGGAGCCCAGTGCTGAGTACCTCTAGGTGAAGACCCCAGATCTACCCACAGCCTTCCCCACCCACTGACCAATGGCAGCTGTGAAGTACATCTTGATCTCATCGGGAGTGAGCGCACGTTCCCAGATGATGAACTCATCAAAAGCTCCGTTCTCGTTACGCTTGGTCTGGTCCTGCTCAGACCCTATAACCAGATTGACATGGGGCTCGCCATAGGTGTGAGACACTTTCCCACTCGGGTCTGAGGTGCTCAGAGTCCCATTGACGTAGACTTTCAGGCCCTCCTTGGACTTCCACGTGAACAGGACATGAGTCCAGTAAGGACCTGTAAGGGAGTGAAGATGAATCTTGAGCATGGCAGATGAGTTCTGCATGAGCTTTCTGCATTCCTAAGCACACCCCTCTTCCACGCGATGCTTGGTCACCCTTGACTTTAGTGAGTCCAACTGTGGATTATAACATAGCCTGACTCTTCTTAGTCCTTTGGAGCACATGACTTTTTCTCCCACCCCCAAATTCCAAAAGCAACTCGAGAAGACCCTTTATTATTTGAACACAAGAGTCACAAATTTAAACACCTACAATAGAAGGTATTAAGAGGCTTGTTAAAAAGGCAAGATCCAAGCACCAACCAATCAGACCATAATCCTAGTTGAAAACCCTAATATGGTCAGGAACAAGATGAGGACATCCCTCTGCCACAACTCCTGGAAGTCCCCACTATTACAGTAAGCAGGGAAAGAGACACACGCATTGGGAAGGACAGAGTAAAATCATCTTTGTTATCAATAACAAAAGCAAAGCCTGAAATGTACAAGTGGTAGTCACATGACTGGGGGATAAAAAGCTAAGAGACAAAAGTCAGTTGTCTTCCAACCTGACAGTAATGAACATATGCACACACACACATGCACACACACACACACACACTCATGACTGAGAAAAGACTGAAATGTCTAGAGAGGCATCCCATGTTCATAGACAGGAAACTTTGGTGTCGTTAAGGTGTTAGTCTATCCCACTCAGTTCTGTAGACTCAACGCAATTCAAACCAGCCCAAATTCCAAGCATGTTATCCTTTGGAGAGCCACCATTGGAGACTACAGTCTACACAAGAGAGACAGATACCAAGAAAAGTCACCTATTAAAAGAGCAAAACAGAGTTGGAGGACTGACATGGCCTCCTTCTAAGAGCAAAAATGGCCTGCCCAGCTGTGGCCTGGGGGGTGCATGCAGCCACTTGCAGCTGAGAATAGCCATGAGTGTGGAGCAATGCAAAATTGCAAAGATACTTAAAACGTTGTGAGATTCTTTTTTTGTAATTCAATAGCACAGGTCTCAAGCATGAATCGTGCAGGTAGTAATGTTTTACGGTGCCCAGAGGTTGGACATGCTTGGATCAGTTAGCAAAGCAAAGCCATGGGGAGACAAACAGATCAGAGGGACAGAACAGACTGCAATATAGACACCATCTGCTGACACCTGACAGGAACAAAGCCAAATTGGAAGAAACAAAGCCGCAGTGGAACAAATACATCTCTGCAACCATGGGGAAACCAGAGGGCCAGATGCAAAAATATCAATAAGTGAATCAGGACCTCATCCCTGTGCCCAAACTAATTCAAAGGGGGTGGTAGACAGAAACACCGAACACAGATCCACACAGCTTCCAGAATATAAAAGGAGGAGTCTAGAACGACCCTGGGCTTGATTCCGACTTTTAAGAAAAAGTGTGTTTGTTTTACTTTACGCACATGGGTGACGTTTTAGTTAGGGTTACTGCTGCTGCTGTAATGGAACACCATGGTCAAAGGAAGTTCAGGAGGAAAGGGTTTATTGTCTTACGCTTTCGGGTCACAGCTAAGCAACAAAGAAAGTGAAGGCAAGAACTCAAACAAGGCAGGAACCTGGACAGGAGCTGATGCAGAGGCCATGGAGGGTGCTGCTTACTGTCTTGCTCCTCATGGCTTGCTCAGCCTGCTTTCCTATAGAATCCAGGACCAACAGCCCAGAGATGGCACCACCCACAATGGGCTGGGCCCTCCCACATTTTCTCAATTGAGGCTCCCTCCTCTCTGATGGCTCTATCATGTGTCAAGTTGACATGAAACTAGCCAGTATGTATATCTGTGCACCACGTGCATGTAGAACCCATGGAAGCCAGAGAGGCTGTCCAAAGCCCCAGAACTGGACTCAGAGGCAGTCTTGAGCTACCAGGTGGGTGCTGGGAATTGAACCCAAGTCCTCTGGAAGAGCAGCAGGTACTCTCCAGCCCTTTGATGCTGCTTTTATCATCAATCAAAAGCATGATCCTGGATAGAAAACCTGAAAAGCTTGTCTCCATTAAAACTGAAAACTTCTGCTCTGAGATAGAATGAATGAAAAGGCCAGCCACGGGCTGGGGAAAATGCCTATAATGGACACTGTCACACAGAATGTGCCAAGAACCCTCAAAATCCATAGTGAGCAAGCAAATGCCTCACTTAAAGACAGGTAAAAGGTCAAAGTTCAGAACAGACTCCTCCCCAACAGAATGTATGACAGCAGGAATGGACCCTGGCATCCCTCAAAATAAATACACATTAGTGTGGTTGTCACCGACACACAGTGCTGGGCTGGGGTGCTGGGGGGAGTCAGTCATGGGCAGAGGTGGGAAGTCCCTGGGAGTCCTTTGTTGCTGCACCTAATTTCACTGTGAGTTGTTAAGTGCCTTGAAAACCAAAGAGTATTGAGAACAATGGTAAGGCCATGCCAGACTCGTGTTCACACACCAGGTCTGCAGAGACAAGGAAGAGGTTGAGTAGAACCCTGGTTTCACTGGGGACAGGGTGCCGAGGGGGCTGTATAGGAGGGCGGCTCCTAGGAGGATTCCTCCCCTCCCGGCTCCTGCCACTAATTGATGAAGCTGCGGGGTCTCCATTCTCTCTTGCTTCCAAGGGAAGTTGGAAGATCTGAATTCGGACATGAAATCACAACTGCGGGTCATAGCGCATTCAAAACATCGTTGACTACCTAAGCAGTCACAGGACAAAGGCCACCAAACCATCCAAGGGCTTGACCTGACATCGCATATATGACTTGATGGCTGTGGCCAACCTCCCGGCTCCGTCACAAGCCTCCTTAGGAAGCCTCTTGGTCCCTCCTCTCATCAGCGGGAAGACCAGCCCACAAAGGGCCCTATCTGTTTTGCAAGCCTTGTTGTAAGACATCCTCCTGGGGTTGACAAAGAAAGACCAAGGCAGCCCCTCTAAAGGACACACAGTGCCCCTGCCCACCGGTCACTCACTGTGGGCTGCCAGTAATCGAGTCAGGATTTCCTGCTGGGGATTGTGCAACACTTTAGGAATTTTGACTCTCTGAAGAACACTCGGATCCTAAGCAGGGCCAAAGCATTATTGCACTTGACTTTGAAAGTGAGAATAACAAAGCCCTCCAGTGGACAAATGAGGAGCAGAAGACAAGAGGATGTTTACAAGTCTCTCGGCACCTCCCCCCCCCGGGGGGGAAACAGCACGTGTTCAGTCTCAAAGAGCCTGCTAGGTGCCTGATGCTGCTCCACAGGCTCAAGGCCCATGGAGGGGGGGGGGGGGATGAGCTGTTACCTAGGAAACCCTGACCGCAAGCGGTCCTCACTGAGAGCCATCTCAGAGGTTCAGAAGGAGCCTCATGAAGCGGGAAGGCAAAAGTGTTTCGGGAGTGGGAAAGCATCCAGAAATTCAACGTCTTTTCTGGCTGCCTCATTTCCCGTCCTTACGGAGAAGGAGTTATGAATTCAGCTTCAGCACATCCAACACCCACAGGGCAAACCCAAGTCTCCCAGAATTCTGCAGCCTATTGTTCAAGGCTCCTCCAATCCGCCAACTGGCTGTCTCCCTGGGAAATAATAACTGTTACTCTTCGAATGTTACTATTGAAAACACTGAAGCACCAAGTGATGGACCCTGATACCAGGTCCATAAAGATACAAAGAAGACTTAGGACCTGGCCCAACTGCTTAGCAGTTAAGCTGTGTCGCCCCTTTCAAATGGGCCAGAAATGGACCCTGAGCTACTTCAAAGGCATTGCTTGCTTCTAGAGCTGTGGTTCTCAACTTTCCTAATGCTGCGACCCTTTAATACAGTTCCTCATGATGTGGTGGTCCCCAACCATAAAATTATTTCCGTTGCTATTTCATAACTGTAATCTTGCTAGCATTATGAATCATAATGCAAATCTCTGATATGCGACCCCCAAATGGTTGGGAACTGCTGTTCTAGAGGCTTAATATAGAGCAACAGGCCCCCCATCCCCCAACCCCCGCCTCTGACATGGCTGATTTCTGTCCAGGTCCTCCCTGCATGCCACATGAGACTCCTGGTCACCTTCCTCTTCTGGTATCTTGTACTATCCTCAGCGGCCCTGGCTTCAGGTGCCCTGAATCCAGCCCATCTAATGAACTACATCCCACAGAGCATCAGAGCTTCTCCACCTATGCTGAAACTCAGGCCCGTGGCACCCTGTCCCCTCCCACTGGTTCTAAAGGGGCATCCTTGGTCAAGACCACCCAGTACCCCAACCTGTCCTCCCGCCTTACTGCCTGCTCCCTGATTGGCAGCCTGCCTTCTCCAGGACTTTTTGTGCGTCTGAGAGCAGCTTCAAGGCCACATCGCTGAATAGTGTGGGGACAGGAGGATTAAGCTACGGTCTATCTTTGCCTCACAGCTTCCGTCCCAGCCAATGACTGGGCACATGCCATGTGACCTCCATTATGTGGAAAGCCAACCTCACACAACCACCGGGCAGCAGCAATTACACAGTGAGCTCCTAGTCAGGTTACCATCTGGGCTTTGACATTGGCATGAAGTCACCTTGTGACAGACGCCCTTTGTGTTCTCCTTGGCACCTTCCCAAGCTGCTGGCAGGAAGGAGCCCATCATCACCAAGGGGCACAGAGGCTCCAGTTGGTGCTACACTCACCTGGAGGGTTGAAGGTGGCCTTCCACGTCATGGAATTATCCCGCGTGTACAGCTCCACGGAGCCCTTTCCACCGCTAGAGCAGACTTTGAAACCATCAGAGATGACCTGTCCCCCATAAGCGTAGGAGGCTGGTCGAGGCTGCTCCCCTTGAGTCTTCCAGAAGAATGAAAATGTCACTCCTGAAGAGAGAAACACGTGACATCAAACGCCACAGCAATACCTGGTCAAGGCCAGGTATCTTCCCAAGGGTGGACCTGAGTCACCATCCCCTTTCAAATGGTACGAAGCCTTGCTCCCATTCCCAGAGTGCAGAACAGGAAACTGAGCTCGGTGGGTTAGTGACTGATGGAGGTCAGATACACATCTGTGCTGGCTGACTCTGAGTGTGCAAATGTGTGCAAGTGTGAGCCCCTTCACCAGAGTCTCCACTCCACCTACTCACCCAGATCTTGACAATGGTTTTACAAAGGAAGGAAACTGTTTCATTCATTCTAGTTACACACAGCATCTTTTAAAAGATTTACTGCCTCCGGAATGTCCTCCCACATCCCTAAATACACTTTTACGCTGTCGTTTTTTATGTCTGCCCGGTGTCACATCCTAAACAACCCCCTGCTTCTGAGTCATATGGTTTGCTTCAAAGTTTGGAAGGAACATTCCAAACAGAACTTGAAGCTAATTTTTTTTGACACATCTCAAATTGCATATATTTCAGAACATGTTCCCCAGGGGGTGTTCTTGTGAAAAGGGAAGCTGAGTTTTCAAAGTTCATAATGCCTTGGCTGCTGACTGCCTGTGGGTGAAGGTATGAGGCAGGCAGAGATAAGAGCAGCTACCTTGTTTTGCAAATGCCCGGTATGGGTATGTGTGATGGCTGGTTTTAATCATCAATTTGACACAGCCTAAAATCACCTACGGAAGGTAGAGTCTCAAGCAGAGGATTGTCTAGATCAGGTTGGTCTATGGACATGCCTGTGAAGGAGTGTCTTGTTTGTTTTCATTGGTGTGAGAAGATTCAGCCCACTATGGGCAACTCCATTCCCTAGGCTTGGGTCCTGGACTGTACAAGAGAAAGCTATCTGAGAAGAACACATGCATATATTCATTCTCTCTCTCTGCTCTTGACTGTGGATGTGCTGGGAGGGACAGTTCTATAAGTTCCTCCTGCTTTGACTTGCCTACATTGATTAATTATAACATGAAATTTTGAGCTAGAAGAAAAAGAACTTTCTCCCTTAAGTTGTTTTTGTCAGGGTAGTCTATCCTAATAAGTTTGGAGCCCAGATCCTATGCTGGAGTGAGAGTGGTACCCCACATGGACTATGTAAGTCCTTGCTACAAACATCACCATGAATGAGTCAGGTCACAGTGGATATGACCGTTGGTCCCCAGATGCACAGAGAATATAGCTGACCAGCCAGGCTGTGGATGGCCAAGGGTGTCTGGCATGCACACAGGCAGGGCTGGGCCCACCTTCACTCGGGTCCTTCAAGGCACAAACCTGATGGGAGGCCCCCATGGGTTACAGGCATCCCTGAGGTTACACTGCAGCTTCCCTGTTTCCAGTAATCTCTTACCAGGTGTCTACACCGTCTGTGTGTGTGTGTTTGTACATGCGTGTGCATGCTAAGCTGGTCACCTGCTGGGTTCTGTGTGTGAAAGACAGAAATAAAACAACTGTCTGGCTCCTCCCATCTGGCCAGAGACTTGAGAGAGACTCAGGGACTCTAGCCAATCTCCCCACAGGACTGATCATAATAGACAACCATGGATCAGGGTATAAGGGGGAGGAGGGGGAGAGGTGTGGGCATATCTGCCCTGGCCTTATTATATAAACGGCACCAAATTCACTTTAGCTGTTGTCAGCAAATTGAGGTCACCTACAGAAGCTTATAAGACTCTGGTGCGTACACTGGTGTCTCATTGCCAGCCATCTTTGGCGAAAGGCCTTATGGGTTCGTCTGTTAGATTCTTTTGAAGGTCTTGTGACAATAGTGCTGCCTGCTGCCTTCTAGTATCCAAGTCCCTATATGACTAACATGAGCACAGGGGATGTGGCACATGTTTTCCAGCCTTGGCTTGCAATTTCTCCATTATATTTTTTCTATCCAAGAGGAATCTAAAGGTTTTGAGTGCTCCCCCCCCCCAAAAAAAGATGAGTGAACAACAAATAACTTGGACTGACAGAGTTTGAATTGCCCTACTCGGCTTAGTCTTCATCATACAGGCGCTGAGGTGACATACAGAACCCGTAGAATGAATAATCGCTCTGTGTGGATGAAAAGTGAAAATCAGGAGATGGCTCAGTGGTTAAAGCATCTGCCAGGCAAGTGTGGCTTCTGGAACATGGATCTCTACAAATGCATGGCCATAGTAGCCTATCTATAATTCTAGCCTCAGAAGGCTGAAAGAGAGAGTGCCCAGAGCAAGCTGACAAGCAAGATAAACCATATCCAGAGGCTCTGGGTTTGATTAAGAAACTTGCCTCAGCAAATGAAATGGGAGAGCAGTTGAAGGAGATTCTTGGGTCTCCACATGCCCACACACATACATGTAAACATGCATACATACATACACAGGAAAATTACATAAAAGCCAGTCAAACGTGGTAGTGCAGGTCTGTATCTCAGGTGCTTGGAAGGCTGAGGCAGGAGGGTCATAAGCTCAAGGCTAGCCTGGGCTACAAAGTGTGTTCAAGACAGTCCTAGGCAGCTAAGAGAGATCCTGTCTCCCAATGAAAAGTAAAAAAACAGAGTGGAAGATTTAAATCAGTGGTAGAGCCCTTGCCTAGGGTGCTAGTCATGGATACACACACACACACACACACACACACACAGATAGATAGATAGAGGATATAGATAGATGAGAGAGAGAGAGAGAGAGAGAGAGAGAGAGAGAGAGAGAGAGAGAGAGAGAGAGAGAGAGAGAGAGAGAGAGATTGGCAGACACAGAGAGAAAGTTTTTTTGGCTTTTCTTTTTTTCCCATGGCTGTCCTAGAACTCACTATGTAGACAATACTAGCCTCACAGAGATCCACGTGCCTCTGCCTCCCAAGTGCTGGGATCACCATGCCTGGCTCAAAACTATGTTTTGTTGGGCTTTCTGTTTGTTTGCTCTGTTTTGTTGTTTTTTTAAGAACCTCCAAATACTAGAAGGGCCCCAGACCTCTCTGGGGCTCTGGGAGCTCCCGGTAGAATCCAGGTCTGGGGAGCATCCTTGGACTGCTGAGGAAAATAGTCCTGAGCGGTCTCTATCTAACACTGGGGTAGGATGATGGTGAGAGGAAGTTCAGAGGCTGAAAGATGTGGCTGAGGTCCAGGCCACCATGGCTGTGTAGGAGGGGATCTCTTCCTCCTGTCCTTCCTCCATCAGTCTCAGGTGTGTGCCCCCCCACCGCCTCCCTCCACCCCTGGTTCCCTGCCCCTTCCCCGCCCACCTCCCTGCACTCAGAAACATCCAGTTTCATATGGAAATGAACAAGGCACACTGTGGAATTTTTGTCATGAAATGTATCTCCAGCAGGTCTCGTGAAAGTCATTTCTCCCCACCCGCCCCCAAACTGTTGCTGCTTAAAAAGAAAAAAATTCCTTTCACTCAACTCGAAGCGCAAAATGATGCTGTCTCTGCCAAATGTGCCTCTCTGCCCAGGAAGAGAAATAAAAATAAAAAATTCAATGCGGTGTTAGGCAATAAGAATAAAAATTAAAAATTCAGTATAGTGCTGGACCGGGACAAGGAGAAAGTGGGTCGTGAACTCTGCCAGCCAAGCCGCTCGTTGTAGCTCAGTCAGCCTGAAAAGTAATGACTCCTGTCTGCCGGAAGCCCTCATTGAAAGATCAGTCTGCATCTCCACGGTCCGGAAAGATTCACAATGTGCCCACAAGAGCACCTGTCAAAAGCTCTGATCATCAACACAGAGAAGGAAGTCTGGGGGGGGGGGGGTGGGAATAAGCACAGCACAGCAGATTGGTTCCACAGTTTGCCGTTGCTGGGATCGGTAAATCCTAATCTCTCCGCAGGCCCTTGTCAGGGTTGTACTGAGTTGGACAGAAGAAGCATCAGCAAGGCGTCCAGACCAGCTGCGCCTGCTCAGTAAACACACCATGAGCGCTGCCTTGTGCTGAACACCGTAAGTGGCTCAGAGAACCAGCGGTGGTCCAGAGTCTGCCACAGTGCCCGAGACTGGGAAGGAGATGTGACAGAATTCCGCCGTCCATCACCACGTCCTCTGGAGGAGCACAGGGACAGATGGTCTGGGGCAGAGGCACTTGCCAAGCGAAGGGAGTGTGGAGCAGAGCCCCAGGTCTGCAGGTGGATCTCCAGATCCTCTGAGAGGCCCTTCCTACTCGCAGCTTCCCCACTTGGGTGCTGTGCGACGTGAAGAAGATGGGAACTGAAGGAATACAGACAGATGGCTCCCTGAGGCTGATGCTCTAGAAGAATGCTGGCCTAGCATGTAAGCTGGCTCCGAGCATGGAGCCCTGAGTTTGATCTCCAGAACTGCACAAAACCATGTGTGAGGTGAATTCCTATAATTCTTGTCTTGAAAGAAAGGGAAGTGGAGACAGGGAAGAGAGGAGGAGGAGGGAGAGGGAGAGGGAGAGGGAGAGAGAGAGAGAGAGAGAGAGAGAGAGAGAGAGAGAGAGAGAGAGAGGGAGAGAAATAGCCTGGTATGTTTTGATGTTGATGGCCATTTGAACTGGGGACTAGCTCAAGCTGGAGGTTAGCGAACTCCAAGACTCTAACACTTTGACCTTAAAATTATTCCAGTTTCTCATAAAGCTAAAAATAGGGCTACCCTGTGACCTAATTATACCACCTCTGGGCATATATTCATAGGACTCCATATCCTACCGCAGAGACATGGCTCCTCTGTGCACAATAGCCAGGAAATGGAGCCATCCTCGATGTCCATCAACTGCTGAATGGACAATGAAAAGGTTGTACCTTTACACAACTAAATTGTATTCCTCTGTAAAAAAAAAAGAATGAAATTTGCATGATAATGGGTGGAACAGGAAAATATTATAGTCAGTGAGGTCACCCCAGTGTAGAAAGACATAATGCCTCATGTCCTTCCTCATATGCAGATCCTAGCTTTGAATTTTTAGATTTGTGTGTTTAATTTTGGGTGTCTATAGAGAAGCCAGAAAGGACCCATGAGAAGGGGAGGGGAAGAGGCCTTAAGGTATAAGAGGATAGCTGAACATATGGGCTGTGAAAGCAGAGATGGGGAACACTAGGTGTTAAGGGGTTAATTAAGCAGGAATGGGGGCAGGGGGGCATGAGAAGGAGGATGAGATTGGGGGTGAATTAACCAAGACTAAAAATTTGTGAAAAATACTTGTGGAAAGTCCCTACTTCGTTATCTACTTAAAATACATAATTTTTGGAAGGGAATTTAAACAGAAGTGCCCTGCATAAGTCAGCAATGAGGCTATCAGAAGATACAAGTTCTTAAATGAAAATCTCAGCGCCAGGCATAGACACCTCCCTCCAAATTATTCATTGGTCAAAGAGGCCCCGGAGACCCCCCGAACACAGGCTCTCTCCATTGCTCTTGGTTTCCTACCATAGCTAGATGGTAAGATCGTATGGCTGAAGACATCACATACTTTGGTTGCAGGGCAGAGAGAAATCTAGTTAGGACTGACCTGGAAACTCATTTGCTAGCTAGCTTTCACAGTGCCGGGAGACATTATGCAGGCCACTGGGAAAGAAAAGTAATCGCTGATCTTATTCATTGCCGGACCCTGCATGATAAAATGCTGACCTGTCAGGCAAGATGTGCCCGCTGTTACAATAGTGGCATGACTGTTATTGGGTAACCAACAACCTTCTAACTGGACCTGAGTCCTGTTCCCAGGAAGGAAGTCATGCGTGGCACTGTAAACTTTGTCAACAGCATGTGGCTGAGGCAAAGACTTTAGTGGGAAACCTACTATTATTGCTTTGATAAACGGACATGTGATCAGACTGCCTTCTACATATTTTCCTTTAGATCCATGAACCAGGGTCCCTGTCAACCTTGGTCAGAGCAGCTTCTTTTTGCAGTGAGCTGTGGTTAGTGCGGAGATTCGTAACTGTTCAAAATGATGAGAATCTGTGACTATTGAGCGTTCATCCCTAAACAGGACATCCGTATCAACCAGCCCAAGGCGTGGGGACCATCACAGAAAAGGAGGCAGGAAGAATGTAAGAGCTGGAGGGTGGGAAGGAGGACTGTCTTCTGGACATGACACGGCTGTTGCCCTCACAAGCTCACAGCAGCTGTGGTCACTTATACAATGCCAAGTCAGTCAGCATTCCTGCAGGAACTGGGGAGGCGCTCATGAGGTCTCTCTCCTAGCTCAGGCGCTATTGACTCTTGGTGAGTACTGGAGAGGGAATCAGTTTTCTTCAGGGCTGTGGCCACTGGCAGGTTGCCCATGCTCGGGTGGGTGGCCCCACACCCATGCCCTTGCAGGCAGCACTAATTGGATGGATAGGTTGTGAAAAGGGGACAAGGATATGAAGCTGGCTTGGGTGGCAGAGGACAATGTCCCCAAAGGATTTGAATGTGGCCCGGACTCCAAGGGGAGAAGTGGGGTCTGCCTTCTCTTTGACACACCTGTCGTGAGCTCCAGCCGCAGGTCACAGGATGGAACAGGTTCAGCCACCATCCAACCACCCTCAGTGAACACATACGTGAACCCGGTTTGAGGGTTAACAGGCACACCCTGCTCTGCCAGGCCTGACCTGTCATCAACATCCCAGATCCAGAAATAACGCTGTGAGAACCACACCATCAATTTCCTTCCCACAAGTGCCGGGACCCATCCCAGCCTGAGTGACATCCATCTCAGCAGCTGTGTTTTAAAGTGGGATGCTCCTCATTCCTCTACAAATGTCAATGTTTTGATCTCCTGACTCTGGAGGGCAATGTCCTAACTGTCTGTCTCCAGGATCGGAGACCGAATTCAAGTGTTCCATCCCTTCCCCGCTCCATCTCTCCACCTTGCATCTGACATTTTCACACGCATTGCTGCTAATAAGAACTCTGTTCTCTTAGGCTATGGACATAATTCAGTAGTAAATGATGCTTACTGCACAAGCATAAGGAACGGAGTTCAGATGTCTAGAACCCACATTAAAAACAAACAAAAAAGTTAGGCATGGTAATGTTCACCTATAACCCAAATGCTGTGGTGAGAAATTTCAAGAGGATTGTTAGGGCTGCCAGCCTAGCTCTAGATCCAATGAGACAGATCCAAATGATAGAACAGGACACCCGGTGTCCTTCTCTGAACACACACATGCACACATGTGTACACATACACACACATATACACATATATACACATATACACATGCACACATACACACATGTATACATACACGCGTGCACGTATATACACACATGCACACATGCATATACACACAGACACACATGCACACACACTTGAACACACACACTCTATTACCATGTGTCATGAGCAGGGTATGGTACACCCCAGCCCCAACTCACCCTCAGGTCCACACTGGGCAGGGTTGCTGATACAGGACGACTTGTAGCTGCCATAGTAGAGGAATGTCACCCCCTTCTCCTCCTTGAGGTAAATACCTTTGTTGACCTTCCCTTCTACGATGTCTAAGAAAGGATACAGACATGTCAGTTACCCTACTGCCACCAGAAAACTAAACACACATGTCAGACTTACAAGCAACTTACAAATGAGTCCCCAGTGTTATCCTCCTTCATAATGCATTTATAATGTCACACATTATTCCCTGATAGTAATCGCATTCGCTAATATTTAATTATTGATAGAGTGTGAATGATTCATAGGTTTAAGTGTTAGGGAAAAAATCGCTACCCTTCTATTAATGTCAGGTCAGCACAACCTATATTTTAATGCAACAATATTGTAACTGGCATATTTGCCAACTGTTGAACCCTAAATGCCACTCATACTCCTGCTATTAGGGCCCCTCCCACTCCGCCTCACGCCGAGCTCTCTGAATGGGGTGCTTTCACTATTTAAGTGTGAGGTCACAGCTGCATCCTGACCCTCCTGGGTACTCACTGAAGCATCCCGGCCCTCCATATGTGCAGCCTCAGCGTTAGAGCCATGTCCAGACCCAGGAGGAGCCACGCCCCCGTTCGGAAAGTCCCTGAAGGGTCTGCCAACAACAATCCTGGAGAGCCACAAACTCCGGTCTCCAATTACAGCTCATTCAGCTATCTTGCTTTGTTTGTGCCGTGGTCGGTGTGTCCCACAGCAAAAGTAATGTGGTTGCTTTGTAGATAGTGAAGACTGTGGAATTACTGGTGACGGGCTCTTTCTATGCACCAGAATGAGCATGCCCAGAGACTGCCACAACCCTGTGTGGGAACAGGGAGGTTGACAGTGCATGTCCTTCTGGCTACTGGCCAAGTGTGCATTCAAGATCTGGGAATTCTACTCACATGTATCACTGGTAGGTGCAACACTCCCTGTCACGTGGACCTCCACGCGGGGGCCTCATTGTTTAAACTCTCTGGTTGCACTTATCCGGTCGGCTGCCGTGGGAGGGCTATATCTTACTTCACTAAATGGATAACTACCCACCAGACAACCAAGCCAGACTGCACAGGCCCAAAAACCAGACGGCTTACTTAGTAAAATCATTTAGAGATGCCAAACAGCCCACAGTGGAGAGCGAAATCAGATGATGTGCTAAGAAAAGAGAGAGGGGAGCACACACAATCCGAGCAGGCTTTCTACACCCATCGGATGCTCGCCACCATCACGGCTGTCCCCTCAGCTCTGAGCTCAAGGGTATCACGGGCTCTGGGTTAACTGACAATTGTGGGCGTGTCTTCTAAAATGGCTCCTAAAGAGTTTTCCGAATGCAGCTGCGGAAACGCTGATGAGATGCTTGCGAGACCGGATTTTGAATGAATTTTAAAATCAACTTGCAGTTTCCATGAACCAGGCAGGGTTACCCTCCCCCAGGCCCTCCCCCACAAAGAACACAATATTGGATTCAAAACTCGAATTTCTTCCAAGCACGGTGGTGTCCAGCTGGGATCCTAGCACTGGGGATGCAGGAAGAGCGTGAGTTCAAGTTCATCCTTGGATACACAGAGAACCTGAGGCCAGCCTGAGCCACATATACCCTGTCTCCAAAAAGGAAAACAAAATCCATTTTCAGTGTTTAGGAGACATCTGGGCCGTGTAGGTTTTCGCTCCTGAGGTTAAGTGACTTATTCAAATGAGCCTGGCAAAGTGGAAGAACCTTCATCCTCCCAGACGTGGCTGCCGGGGAGGCCTCCTAGGCCAGAAGCTGATGTGGCTTTCCCTGATGCCCTGGCTCTGTCTTGATGCCCATCACTTGTACCTGGCCACCCACTCCTTTACCAGCCAAGTGAGTCCTACAGAGCCAGAGGAGACTGGTCGTCAACGTCACTGGGCTCCAAATTTGACAGGACCAAGCACGGATGCTCACCTACAGTCGCAGAGAAGTTGGAGTAGGCAGAATCATTGGTAAAGACAAAGGTAGCATTGTGGGAAGGAGGCACAGTGAGGTTGTGGGTTCGCAACGCTGGGTGAAATGACAAAAGAGAAGACAACACATGAGTGACAAGAGACATAAATGGCACATCTCTCACCCCGGCACACGGGAGAAGGGCTCCTCCTTCCCGCCTCCCCCTCTGCCCACAGGTTTCTTCAGCAGACTCCACAGCCGGCTCCAATGGCCCCCTGAGCTGAGTCACTGCTGACCTTGGCCACAATCTAACAGATAATCGTGTCAGTTTGCTGACTCCCCCCCCCACCCCCGTGGATGCGTAGCTGAGAGATGTAGAGCCATTTATGAAGCAGTGTGGTAACAAAAGGGGGGATGGTTGTGATATGAAGAACCAACGAGGGAGAGACAGACACGGTGAAAACGGCTGCATGAGATGGCAGCAGACGGGACAACAGAGGGCTTGGACACAAACAAATGAGCTGCACATCCAGGAGGTGGCATCCGGAGCCATTCAGCTGTCCCCAGCCTTGAGAGGCACTGGCAGATCCCAGCGTGTCTCTCCATCCTGGGGACCTGCCCTCATGACACACACCTGTTCAGCAACACAGGGGTCCCAACAGGAAGCCACGGTGCCGACACCACATTGCACAGGGCGGGCACAGACACAGAGGCATTGAGGATTTCACCAGAAGTCAAAACACTGAATTTCTGCCGTGCGTCTAAGTGATTATGGAACTTCAGAACACCAGAAGCTACTGACTTCGCCAGCAGCAGTGAGCTAAGGTGGGAGAGACAGAATGAAGACACAGGCCTTGGGGTTCTGAATAATGCCCTTGGTCAGGTGGTTGCCTCTCAGGGGTTTCAAAAGACTTCCAGAGAAGAAACTGGGATTATGTCAAAGGCTGATGGTCTGTTTACCCCTGATCCAACACACCCAGCTAGCACAGGGTGCCATCGCCCTTACTACAGCAGACTGGCTACCACACAGTCTGCTGGGGCCACCAACATCCTACCTCATGGGAGGGCCAATGAAGGTTGGAGGAGCAGCACAGTGAGATCGAGCCCTTTGCAGAGGCCACACCGCCACCAGTAGACTTAGAAGAGTTTTGTTTTAGTTTACTTTTAATTTTAAAACATACTGTTTATTTTATTTTAGTTTTAAAATATGCATTTATCTGTTGTATGTGCACACACATGTTAGTATGACACAGCAAGTATGTAGAGGGAAGAGGACAGCTTGAGGAGAGTGTATTCTCCCCCTCCACCATGTGGGTCCTGGAGACTGATCTTAGGTTGCAAGCTTGCCAGCAAATGCCTTTATCCACTGACCCATATTGCCAACTCTCTATTTTTTTTGGTAAATTTGGAGAATGTGGGTTGTGTATGCCATGAGGCATAAGCTGAGGTTAAAAGGATAATCTTCAGGGTTCACTTCTACTACCATGTAGGTTCTGAGATCGAACTCAAGGCATGATGCTTGGCAGCAAGCACCTTCACCCACTAAACTATCTCAACCAGTCCATAGATTCCAAAGTTTAAGGGAGACATTCTAGGACCTTCTGTGACAGTTTCCCACCGTGCTTGAGTCACATCAGTGAGGAAGATGCCAGGGATCTGGGGTGGGCAGCATGCCCACCAGCAGAGATTTTAATGCATTGCATGGGAACCTGTGTATATACAAAACGAAAGTGTGTGTGTGTGTGTGTGTGTGTGTGTGTGTCCACATTTGACATTCTTAAGAGCAGCAAGTATATGAAAATAAAGTAGAAGGTCTCCGAAATTTATTCCAAATCAATACTTTTTAAAAAAGTTTTTGTTAGAATGGGCATGCTCACAACTGTTCTGGGTTCCTCTGAATCCAGTAAGACAGAGACCCTGACACCTCCTGTGGAGTGAGCACCAGGGAGAGCATCTTGGGGGATGCTGGCTAATGTGTGGATAAGTGCTTGATCAACAGGGGACACCTTGCTTTGTGAAACAGTGACCTTAAAACAAGGCAGCCTGCCACAGTTCACCACCATCCAACATCAGCTTGTTGTGTCAAAGCCATCTCTGTCCACCCACAAATAGGTACCCAGACTCATACCACAGCAGAGGGTTATACACTAAGAGTTAGGAAACCCTGCTTTTATATCATAGCAATGGATAAATGTTCTCGAAAGAAACACTCTGCAGTGACCGTCCATGAACCACGAGTGCTTGTTCATCATCCCCACGCTCTTCCCCTCTCTCCAGATGCCCCAGCCCCTGGGAGGCGCTATCCCCATGCCTGCAGGCATTCTCACCACCCTTGTCTACCTCCAGTTGTGTCCTGAAGTTCAAGGATCCCGTCCACATTTTCCAATGGCCAGTAATGAGAAGCAGAAGCCAGGACCGCAAACCCTGCAGTGAAAGGACCAAAAAGTTGAAATCACAATTAGGGAGGAAGGAACTGAAGATAAGAGCTGTGACCCCGAGCACTTGAAGACTGAGAAAGAGTGGAATTGTCAGGATGACCATGGACCTGGCTGAAAAGGCATTAAGAAAATTCAATACACACTCCTGGTTAAACAAAAACCACTGCTTTAAATTAGAAATCAATGGCTAGTTTCTTAATTGGACAGAGCAGGACAAATAGGGAAGGACATCTCCTAACTCAAGAAAACAAAAGCCCTGTGTATGTCGGCACAGGGCTAGGAGCTGCCCATTAGTGTAGGGGAAAGGTAGAAATGCCCATTATCGCGCTGTTCTTGCAGCGGCTTTAGAGGCAACATCTGATGTAATTGGACCACAGAATGAAACAAGGTTTAAAAAGACTTTACCAGGGGGAAGATGCTAAACCCAGTGTTGGTGCCGGGTGTCACGGAGGCCCTTGACAAACACTCCCCTGTGTCTCTTAACAGTAACTCACAAGATAGCACATCCTTCCCCTGTTTGTAAAGAGACATGAAATTCCTGCTGGAGGGCTGGGGAGATGGCTCAGCCGGCGGAGTGATTGCCACATAGGCTCGAGTACCCGAGTTCTATCCCCCAGACCCACATGAAACCGCTCGTGGTGGTAAATGCTTATGATCTCAACTCTACAGAGGCAGAAACAAGAGGGTCCTGGGAGCTCACAGAGCAGCCAGGTTAGCTAAAATATGAGCTTCAGGTTAAGTGAGCTTTTGAGACCCTGCACACACGTATGTGTGCCCGTGCACACACACTCACACACACACACACACCAAAAGATAAAAATAAAAAGTAAACAAGAATAGCTATAGCCAAGAATAAATAAGAGGACCTGGAGAGGGCATGGGGAGATGGGGTGAGTACTAGAGGATGCTGGGAACGCAGATGTCTTGAGGGGAGCTGGGGACAAGCATGGAGGTTGCAATGAGAAGACGCCGGGTACCATGAGTGTAGTTGGGTACCATGCCTGTAGTTGTCGGGTACCATGCGTGTAGTCGGGTACCATGCGTGTAGTCGGGTACCATGCGAGTAGTCAGATGTTCAGTGGAAGGAGAGGCCACTGGTGGCTCCACTACATATAGACCATTGGCTTGTGATAAAAGTGGCATTTTAAATCAAAGATTTATTCGCCACAGGTACTGAAGTCAGTTAGGCATCTGGGAAACAGTAAGATCTTACCTCACTAATACTTCAGATGGTTCAAAATGCGAATGTAACACGAGAGCCGAGCCAAAGGCTGGCTGGGTTGGTGCATGGCTTCAATCTCAGTTTGGGAGGCAGAGGCAAGGGGATCTCTGTGTTCCAAGGCCAGCCTGGCTACATGGTGAGAAGCTATCTAAAAAGAAAAAGGTGGGCTGGGTGCAGTGACCTGTGCCTTGTGCCCATATGTAATTGGGGTTTAGGGAACTCTCTCTGCCCTTCAATCATAACATTTTGAAGAAGCCATCAGTGAGCTACCCAGTGCTCCCTCGTCTCCATCATCCCACCAGTGCTCCCTCGTCTCCATCATCCCACCAGTGCTCCCTCGTCTCCATCATCCCACCAGTGCTCCCTCGTCTCCATCATCCCACCAGTGCTCCCTCGTCTCCATCATCCCACCAGTGCTCCCTCGTCTCCATCATCCCACCAGTGCTCCCTCGTCTCCATCAGCCCACCAGTGCTCCCTCGTCTCCATCAGCCCACCAGTGCTCCCTCGTCTCCATCAGCCCACTAGTGCTCCCTCGTCTCCATCACCCCAGCTCCCACGCATCCTTCCCTCCCTCTTTGGAGGTGGAAAGGTTAGACGTTCAGAGCCAACCTACATGACATAGGTCAACCTGAGCCGCGCGAGATCCTGATTCAAATAAATACATAAAGAAATAGAAGCATTTGAGGTTTTGCATTTAGAAAATTTCTATATAGGAAATAAACTGAATCAGACTGTGAGGCAATGTTCTCGAAGTATATATGACAGAAACACATTGATTTCCTTTTTAGATGTATTCAATTTACTATAGTAATAAAATTCCTGTGGGCTAGCAATATGGTTCAGTGGTAGAGTATTCATTTAATATTTGTGAGGACCTGGAGTCAATCCTCAGGCAGCAGAGAAAGAGGAGAAGGGAGAAAGGAAGGGAGGGAGGGAAAGAAAAGAAAAAACTATAAATGAAAAGGAAATCAACAGAAAACTTAGGCACAATAAGATAGTTGAAGGAAAAAGAAACGCAAATTGTTTTTTAATTATAAAGCACCTCACCCTCCCAACCTTGTTCAGTGCAACCCAGGACTATAAAGACTACAGAGGGCCGGGCGGTGGTGGCTCACGCCTTTAATCCCAGGACTCGGGAGGCAGAGGCAGGCGGATCTCTGTGAGTTCCAGGCCGGGCTGGACCGATAGCCTCCAAAACAATACAGAGAAACCCTGTCTCGTAAAAACCAAAAAAAGAAAAAAGAAAAAAGACTACAGAGGGCAGTCAGTCAGACTTCTCCTGTTGGAATGACAACCAAGAGGCCAGATGTGAGAAGCCGGTCAGTTCTGACAGAAGCTCAGATGGAGTCGGCATCAGTTTGACCTTTCCGGAGGACAATTTGGCTGTGTCTGCAGAGGTTGAGGACACTTTCTCTCTAGGAATCTATACTCCAGAGGCTCTCAAATGTATGATCAAAGAGCTGCATACAAAAGTATTTGTTGGGGAATGTTCCCACAGCGTCAAAAACCAGAGTGCAGCCTGGATGCTCATCTGTGGCGAGTTGACTAAATAATCAGGGTGCATGTGAAGTGAGCTGGCGTGCAGCCGAGGAAACGCTGGAGAATGACAGGCATGGGGTAACATGGAGTGATGTTTAAAAGAGCTGGGGCCACAGGAGAATGCTTGTCTAGCATGAGAAAAAAACCTGGACTCCACGTTCAGCAACACACACACACACACACACACACACACACACACACGGATAAATGTAAAAGAAAAGCTACTGGTTAAAAATAATACATAATAATGAACAATTTAGCCTAATCTGTCTCAAAAAAAAACTAAGCAAATTTTAAAAAAAAATATCAAGGTGAGCTAGCCAGGCATCGTGGCACACAGCCTTCAATCCCAGCACTCGGGAGGCAGAGGCAGGTGGATCTCTGTGAGTCTGAGGCCAGCCTGGTCTACAGAGTGAGTTCCAGGACAGCCAGGGCTGTCGGAAGGAAGGAAGGAAGGAAGGAAGGAAGGAAGGAAGGAAGGAAGGAAGGAAGGAAGGAAGGAAGGAAGGAAGGAAGAAGAAAGAGAAAACAACAAGAAGGGAGAGTCACATTGCCTGCACTTCCTGTTCTCCAAAACTTTGATCTACCTTCCTTGGCAAAACCCTGTTAAGTCCCGCCTTCAAAATCCCAGATGACAGCTAAAGTACAGCATCTTGGTGGGTACCAAATACCTCACCTCTTGAAGTTCATATTTACACACTGCTGTGATAAAAAGCCCCACCACAAGCAGCTCCGGGAAAGGCTCTCTTTAGGCTCACAGTTTGAGGAGGCTGCAGTTCACCGAGGTGGAGTGTGAGCAGCTCGTCCCATTTTGTCCACAGTCAGGAAGCAGCAAGAAGTGAGTGGATGCTGGTGCTCAGCTCACTTTCTCCTTTTGTGTCAGTGTGGGATCCCTATCCATAGGATAGCACTGCCTGTGTTTAGACTGAGTGTTCCGGTCAGTTCTAGCAACATGACACAGCCTGGAGCACTCTGGATGAATTGTCTAGGTCCGGCCTCTGCGTGTGTGGAGGGATGGGGGTAACTTAGTTTCTAACTGCTCTGGGAGGGCCCAGATCACTGTGGGTAGCGCCATTCACTAGGCTGTATAGAAAAGATAATCGAGCAGAAGCCGGAAGAACAAGTCAGTAACCAGGCTCCTCCGCGGTTTCCGCTTTAGACCCTGCTTGAGTTCCTGCCATGACTTCCCTCAGTGACAAGGCCGTGACCTGGGGGCGTAAGCCAAATAAGCCCTTTCTTCCCTTACCATTGCTTTTGGTCAAAGGGTTTTATCACAGTGTCGGCAACCAAACTACAACAGCGAGTTTTTCTACCTCAGTCAGCCTGATCTAGATAATTCTCCACGTGCGTGCCTGGAGATTTGCCTCCTAGATGATTCTGAATCCTGTCGAATTGGAGATGTTAACCTTCACGGTTTTCTCCTGTCCCTTCCGTGTTCCCACGCAACTCCCAAATGCAAGCCAAAAACAGAGAAAGTTCTCCACTGGGGCCTAAGGAAATTAATCAAGGCCTAACTCCCACAGGCAGCCAGGAATGAGTGCCGGGTAGTCTCCAGCTACGAGATGCCGGAACTCAAAAGGGCAAGAATCCAAAGCCTTCATTTTCAAGTCCACATTTTTTTTAACCCCAGATACTGAGGATATTTGGTTTTTAAAAACCATCATGGGCTTATTATTCAATTCATGTGGGAAAACTATCAGAAGCAGAAAGAACATCTATTACACAAAGAACAACTGTTGGGTCTTCAGAATCCACCTCTGCCACTAAGTCACGTGGGCACAGTGTCCCTGCTGCCGACTCTAGTGAACAAGGCTAAAGCCAGCTCTGCACAGAAGGGCTGTTCAGCGAAGGGATGGAGTCACCCTAAAACAAGCCCATGTGGCTCAGCGGTTAAGAGCACTGACAGTTCTTCCAAAGGTCCTGAGTTCAATTCCCAGCAACCACATGGTGGCTCACAGCCACCTTGAATGAGCTCTGATGCCCTCTGCTGGCCTGCAGGCAGAAGACTGTATACATAATAAATAAAATATTAAAAAAAAACCAAGCCCATGCAAAGGAGATGGGATAAAAGGTCTTGAGCCCCATAGGGCTGACATGAATCTCAAGACAGGACAAAGCACCCACACTGTTCCCATTGTCCTCTGACTACAACATGAATCTGTCTACACTGAGAAGAAGCAGTGTGGGGCCAGGTTAGCCCTGAGGAAGATGACATTCTAGATAG